AATGTTGGCAGCCATATTTTCTCGTCAAATAAACAGGCTCCTCTGCTACCCGCTGAGTTACTATTCCCATTTCATGTACATGAGTGGGCTGACTCGTTAAAACAACACGCTCCTTGTGTGGCTGATATATTATTTTAAAAGTTGTTAATCAGGTAGATCAAACTAAGCAACATTAGTCAAATCCTCTAATGGTTAATCTGAAAATCTCAATATTTAATGCCATATCATAAATATTAAAATAATAACTCAACATATGTGCTCATTAGATACACACTATACTTTGTCTTTAAGCAAGACCGGTATATCTTGGATATGTCTGTCTTCCCTAAAGACTTTGGTTGCAAGTTTGAGTTTGATTGCAAGTTTGAGGGTGCCAGAGCAAGGCCACTCAATCTTTGTCATTGAACCGTTCCTGTTCCAGTAGCACAGGAATGGGCCTATTGGCCCTGGAAATCACATGGGCAGAAACGGTGATGCAGTTGAGTGGAAGATGTCTGTGAAGGTTCTCATTCATCCAGGCCATGGTATATCTGTAAAAAATAAGTCAAGGCAACTGGACTTGCTGTATTTTTCTTGAAGACATTTCACTGGACATCCAACCAGCTTTCTCAATTCAGAATGACTTGTACACTTGTATTATTCCCAGATAATTTTTTGTACAAGTCATTCTGAATTGAGAAAGCTGGTCGGATGTCCAGTGACAAGTCTTCAAGAAAAATACAGCAAGTCCAGTTGCCTTGACTTATTTTTTACAGATATAATTGAGTGGAAGGGTAATGTGTAGACAGATGAATGGCAGAAGGGAAGAGGTGGCATCCTAAAAGGAAGGTGCAAGGACCACAGCTGTATATTCAAAAGGATGACTTGCACAGTTTTTTTGTGTAGTCTATGCCCATCACTAACATAAAGATTTCACCACTGGACTCCTGGAGAGGTATGAGAAGCATGCAAGCCATTGAGCCTGCTAGATTCTCATCAGATGTGATTTATAAAAGCTTGAGTGGGCCAGACTTGTGCTTTTATTAGGACAAAGCATAAGAAACTTGTGTGGCCTGGCTGATGAATGACGTATGAAGAGGGTTCAGCTGCCCTGGCTGGCTGCTTTCTTGCTAAAAGAGTGTGGAACATGCTCTCCCTGGCTGCTATTTTCTTGTTCTAAAATAATTAGATCCTTAAACAGGAATGGGAACCATTTACTGTGTTTTTCAGTGGATGACCTACTACCTGGAGAGCTGTCAACCATCACCTGCAATGCCCTGTACGTTTCACTGCTTTCTTTTTTGGACAGAGTAAGTGTGATTCTGCAGCCATAATTGTAGCTGAGAATGTCACTCTTACTGGCTGTAATATGTTTTTCATGGGTAAAGAAAACTCCAGAAACCTTAACTTAATTCAGTCTCCAAATATCTGGAACTGTTCCTCAAGGAATACTCACCACTGAGAGGTCTCTGAAATCATATTAAAAAGAATTTTATGGGGTGAAAACGTTCAAGGAAAAATATAGTTGGAGGCATCTGGAGCTGGCATTGTTTCACAGACTGTGTGTGTCCAAGTGCGAAAATCTTACACAATGTCCACGTTCTCTTCGTCTCTACGCCCAAAACTTCAGCAGCTCAAAAAGAGTTCAGAAACTGAGCATATAATGAGATTGTTTCGTGGTATTGCCTAGTCTCTCATTACCATAATCAATATTTTATAGGCTTGCTGTCAGAATAAAGTTATACAGTCTTTCCACTGGTGAATTAAAGTTACAGTTCAGTCAAACGTGAAACATTTTAAATTTAAGCTGAATCAGGCGATAAATCTGTGTACCTACTTAGCGGTTCCAATTCTCTTCATTGATTTCCTGTTGGACACCTGACAAGTCTGGCTGTTAATTCCCCATAGTTTCTGCTGTTCTCCTTTATATCTAAAACCAAGAATAAAAATGTATTGTAGTTTACCAGTCTCTAGATGTGGTGGCTACATTTGTTTTCAGGTTACATACAATTTCTGCAAATACAGAAAAATACCTGTTGACCCTATTAGACATTCTGTAACCTCCTGCGGACTGAACTGATATCTCTATGTTAGATCAGCTTTCTCTGATATCTTCTGTAAGCTACAAATCCTCCCCCCCCCCATGAAATTGAGATAAGGCATGTAGTCCAAATCAGGAGAACATCCTAGGGTGACAACACTTATTGGAAGCAGGTGAAAATGAAGAAAAAAATTAAACTAATGCAACCATTACAACTACGATTTTTGAATTTAGATACTCTTTAATATCCCTGAATTCGACATTTGGCCTTTTAAAATGCAGACCAGAGGGGATTGCACACCTCCCTGTCTTTGAGCTTACTGCAGCCTTGACCACTCACACTGGAGTATTTCAGGGAGATTATGGACAAGGAATCATGTGATAAGATGTTGCAGTCCAGAAGCACAGTGAGTAGCCTACTGAACTGGGTTGCACTGAATTTTGTAAAACCCAGATTAACATTAATGAAGTCTACTTTCTGAATTTATGATTATTTCAGTGTTTCCCAACTAGGATTAGAAGTCCAGTAACTGACTTTGCCTGATTTAAAAAGTGGTCCCTGGAAAGTGTTTAGTGTTAAGAGTCTAGAATATACCACAAGTCTTTCACTTTTATTCAGTTTCTTCTATTTTATAGGCAACTACAGCCAGGGATGTGTGTGTGTGTGGGGGGGGGGTGGTTCATGTACCCCGGGTGGATGGAGAACTTCTCCCTTGGGGAGGGGGAGTAGCTCTGAGCCTTTGCCCCGGGTAAATAAAATCTCTAGCTTCCTCACTGACTACAGCACATGAATGCAGTCTTGAAAGCACCTGATTCTTTTTTTTTCTTTACTAAGGCCATATTTGTACAAGTATGTTTGAATGTGAGTGGTCAGCTCTACTTGACATCACTGGGCACCCCCTATTAGCGTCCATTCACATCTTTACAGTGCATTAATGCACATTATCTTGCGCCTTAACGTACAGTATGTTATGAAATCCCATTCATTTGGATTGAGTTCCTAATTCAACAAAACACACTAAAAATGTGTATGCAGTATTTTTAGCAATGCCGTGGGAGTAGAAAGGACAGGACTGGGAGCCAGCCAGTTGTGCTGTAGTGCTCATGTGCTAGCAAGGAGCATGTTGCATCCGTGTGCTGTTTCCCCACTCCTTATCCAATCACAAGCTGTAGCAAAAAAAAGATCAGATCTCCTGCCCTGCCAGATAGGGCTGTGCCAGCTGACAGACCTGGGTAAATCTCATAACTAGGTGAAGAGAAATACAAATACATGACAGGTTAATAGTTCCTATAGATGTATTTTATCTGAGTATTTAACCTCAACCTGTGTATCTAACCTCAACCAAACCTAAACCTAACATCAACTTTAACCCTAACTCTCAAGATGAGCTATAATCCTGTCACAGATAATTAAAGGAGAACTATGGGGTGAGTGAATTACACTCATCCCCATAGTTAGAGCCGTTGTGTGACACTGAAACTGTCACAGGTCGGCTATATTGATCGGTAAGTGAGGGAAGACTGGAGGGACGGACGGGTGTGGGGGCGGGCATAGCTGACTCTGCCTTTAGAGGTGGGTGGATTGCGACAGTATTGTTGGGATCCATCCCGGCTGCAGCGATCCCAGCATATAGCGGGCAATAGCCCGCTATATGCTGAGTTTTGGGTCACGGGGAGACGCAGTATATCACCAAAAAGAGAACTATTGAAAAAAAATGTTACCCCATAGTTCTCCTTTAAAAGTAAACCAAAACTAATGCCAGTTATAGGCAAACATGTTCATGTGCTTTAGCAAATCCATGCTGTAATATTTAAACAACAAAACAATGAAATAACCAGTACCACAAAACCTGCATCTAACTGTCGGCACATGGAATGCAACTAATTTGCAGTAAAGTGATTGTAAGCTCTCACAGGCAGGACTCTCCTTACCATTTTTTTTTTATTTGCATTGAACTGTAATATCTTTTATATATTGTGAAGCACTACACAAACTGTTGGTGCTATATAAATCCTGTATAATAATTATAATGCACATGTCAGTCTACCATCAGGTTACATCATGCTACCACAGGGCTGGTTCACTTACAGTTTGTATACTGCTCCACGCCCTCCAACCCCTCCCTCCAGTCGCAGGTGCCTCTGGCATCTTTCACCCTTCCTCTA